GCCCTCATGGCCGGGGTTGCCAGACAGGGGGCAGCAGGGGATGGGGTGGGGTTCGGGGAGTGGGGGGACCTCTCACTTCCGCTGCCTCAGCACCAGGGGAGGGGCAAAAGAGCAGGGCCAGGGCCCCAAACCCGCCAACTAAAGCTTGGTGGGGAGTAGGGAGGGGAAGGATTTTTAAGGAACTTTCTAGAAGCCCCATCCATCCCTCCTGCTTACATTTCAGTGGCCAGAACTGTGTCACAAGCCCACTCCCATATATAGGGAGCCCTGGGAGGCCTTATTTTCACTGGGGTTCTGGCGGTAAGGAAGGAGGTGAAGAAGCCACAGGGGCCTGACAGTGGTACTTCTTTTAACGGTTGGGAGTCGACCCCTGATGTTGGGGTTGGGAGCTGAGAGAAGCCAGCAGCATTGGCCTTTGGCCTTGACAAGCCTTGAATCCTGTTTCATACCCAGTTGTAGCGCCCCCTCCCGCGCTGCATTGTAATCTCGTTGTCCTCAAGGCCAAGTTCTGTTGAACTGGGTCTTAGCCTTGCTTTGGGGAATTGCAGGTGGGTGGGGGAGGCAGGTCTAAACTTCCCAGCCTGGAAAGAGTGGCTGCAGATTCCAGAAGGCAACTTTGGGCGGGGGCGGGTGGGGGCGGGTTGCTGCAGCAGCAGCTGGGAGCCAGAACTGACCCATGAACTGACCCATGGTGCTGGGAATCTTTCGGAGAAATGTGGGCCTTCTGGAGAGTCAGCAGGGCAAAGTACGAGCATCCAAGGGCAGGAGAGATGCAGGGGACACTCCCGCGGCACAGGGTCTCGGCGGATGGACCCCCTTCTTCACTGGGACAACTCCCAGGCTGCCCCTGGGTCTCCTTGGCCACCCCCTGTGCAATCTTTGGGAGGGAAAGGAGAAGGAGAGGGGGGTGGGCTCTGGATTCCATCTATGGATTCCAGCCCCAAGTGCTGGAAGGAGGCTACAGCAGCAGACACCGGGCCCGAGGCTGGGGGTCCCACAGGTGAGAGACCCCTCCATCCCAATTTATAAATCACCAGTCCCCTCCCTTGGACCTGTTAGCAATGACACCAATGTCCCCCATGTGTCTTTAAATTCAAAGACAGCTGAGGAAAAGTCCCAATAAACTTTGCATTTTTTTCCCAAGGTTAAGGAGGGAGGCACCCGTCTGTGGAAGCTGCTAACATGTGGGTCCCCCCTGAGAAGGGCTTAGCCACACCACTGGGAGGAGGGCTGCCTGGTCTCGCTCACAGAAAGGCCGGGGGAAGTGGTGGCCCTCATGGTGAAAACCTTTCTCCAAGGTGCTCTGTGAGCTCGGGTGTAGACGAACACAAAGAAAACAGGCCCAGGAGGCAGCAGTGAGCAGACTCTTTACTCGGTCGGATTACACACCATCAACCACCGGCAGCGGCTCAGTCCTCCTTACAGGGGACAGTTAATACAAACAAAAATAGTTCTCTACGAAACTAAGTTTCCAGCCCTCCCAACCCTCCTTCCTAACTCCCTCCCCCAGACGGTGAGTTCCTTGGTCACCAGGCCTCACGGAGTCTGGTGGGTTGCAAAGGAAAACAAAGAAGAGTTGTAGGCAACTGGACCTCCCGTCCGCTGGCCGGTGGCAAGCCAGGGACAGGCGCAGGGGGTGTCCGCAACAGTCGCGCGCGCGAGTGTGTGTGAGTGTGTGTGTGTGTGTTGGGAGGCGGGACCTGGAGGTGTCGAGGTGAGCAGCGTTTCTCCCCACCCCCGTCTCACCGCCAGCAAAAAAAAAAAAAAAAAAAAAAAAAGGTGGGGGGCGGCAGGTAATAGAAAAGAAAAACTAAGACACAAATCACAGGCAGCGGGGCCAGCGCCGCACCGCGCCCCCTGCGGCGGCGGCGGGCACTGCCGGGGCGGGGCGGGGGCCGCGGGGCGCGGCGCGGGCGGGCGGGCGGGAGGACTCTGCTGAGTAGCACCTGGGAGCAGCTCGGGCCGCACCCTTCTCGCCGCCCGGCCTCGGACGCCGGGGCCCCCGAAGCCCCGAGCCCCCCCGCCCCCGGCTCCCCGGGCGCGGGGTCGTCCGGGCGGGGCTCAGCAGCCCAGGCGGGCGGCCAGCCCCAGCAGCAGCAGGCAGCCGAGCAGGGTGGCGGGGCGCGGGGCGGCCCCGGGCGCACGGTCGCAGTCCAGGCCGCCGCCGTCTGCGGCGGGGTCGCAGCGGGGCTGCTCGCAGCGCACGCCGGTGTAGCCGCTCGGGCAGGCGCAGCGCTGGTTCTGCACGCACGTGCCGCCGTTCTGGCAGAGCAGCTGGTCGTCGTCGCACACGTTGGCTGCGGGGCAGAGGGGCAGTTAACGCGGGCGGGGGCCCCGTCCACCCCCCACCGCCCCCGCTGGAGCTTCTGCGACTGAGGCGCGGCGGGACGGCGGGGGGTGCTGGAGGCTCAGGGCGCACTTGGTGCGAAACGCCCCTGCGTGCACGGCGACAGTGGCCGGGCGAGACCTGGCCTCTTTTCTCCCGCCACTGCCCGTGTCTCCCTGCTCCAGGGCCCACGGGCCTTGGGACGCACCTGCTCTCTCCCCTCCGGAGCTTTGCACCTGCTGTTCCCTGCGCCCTTCCACCCTCTCCCGAGGCTAGCGCCCACTCGTCCTTTCGGTCCCGCCAGGCCCTCATTTCCTCGGACAGACGCCCTCCTCCCTCCCTGTCACAAACCCCAACCGCCAGCTCCACCTTTGCCCCGATCTCCCTTCTCAACTAACCCCCAGCTCCGCCGCCCCATGGTTCCCACCTGGCACCTGCCAGAATTCCTGTCGCATCAGACCCCGCCCACGGCCCCGGACCCCGTCCCTCGCTCCACCCACAACCGAAGCCCCGCCTCCGGAGGCACTAGCCCCCCCCCCCCGCCCCGTGCCCCGCCCCGCAGCAGCAGGCTCCGCCCACCGGGCGCGCACTCACGGTAGCAGCCCTGGCGCCAATAGTGCGTGGGGAGGCAGTCGTCGCACTTGGGTCCCGCTGCGCCCTCGCGGCACTCGCAGAAGCCGGTCTCGTTGCACCGGTCGTGCACGGAGCCGATCTGGTTGCAGTTACACTCTGGAAGGACACGTGCACCGCGTGCGGTCAGGACGACCTGTGGGCGTCCTCCGCACGGACCCGCACCCGGTGCGGCCCCCCATCCCTCCAGCCGGCTCTCCGTAATCCCCCGGTGGTGCACCCCACACCATGTCCATGTGAGCTCACGGCTGCCCGAGGGTCCACATCTCTAGGGAAGACTGTACTGTCTTGGTTCTCTAGCATCCATTACCCACTCTTTCTCCCTGGCCCTGTTGCTGTGTGGCCTGGAGCAGCCCCAACCCCTCTCTGGGCCGCAGTTTCCGTCCGTGTAACTGGAGGGAGCGCTGATCTTTGGATGCTCCAAAGGGCTCCAAGATTCTTGTCAGGTGGGGGAGCCTCATCGGAGGCAAGGCTGGTTGTGGGCAGTAGTCCGGCTCTGCATCTCCTCTCCAGGGCGGGGTGGGGGTGGGGGAGCAGCCCCAGAGGCCCCCAGCCTCTCCCTAACCCCTTCCCAGTTAGTTTCCTGGGGCCTCTGCTCTGGAGGGGGGGCAAGTGTCCCCACTCTGGGAGGCCTTGAAGCCCAAGGAAAGAAGGGGGGGAGGGGGGGGGGGGGGGGGGGGGGGATGCCTCTCCCCCCACCCAGGGCCCCACCCTGTCCCTGCAGCTGGCTCCTGTGACATCAGCAGCACAATTCTGTTAGGTTCACTTTAGAGTTGATGGAATTATCTGAAGGCCAATGCCATAATTCAGACTGACAGCTCCAGCCTTGAGGGCAGCCCCTCCTCTGTGAAGTCGGCGCTGACCTGGTGGGCGGAGGAGGGGCTTAGGGGGCTTAGGGGGCTGGGGGCCCTAGGACTGAGCATTGGCCTCCATTGGAGACAGAGGCAGAGGTGGTGGGCAGCCCTTCCAGGCTGGCGGGTGTTGGCCAAGGCCATGTGTTTGGCCTTTTGGGATGGGCAGCCCCACCCCTGGTCCAGGGCCCCCCGCGGCTTTCTTCTCTACCCCAAAGCCAGTCCTGCAGCACAGTCTGAAGAGAGCGGTCCGAGTGCCCACCGGGTCCTACAAGCTGGGCCTCTGCTTATAAAGCATCAGAAGAACTGCACTGGGAGAAAAACTTCAGCCACAAAAGGGAGTTGAAAACTTTTGATCTAATCCACTTCCCCACTTTACAAGTGGGGAAACTGAGGCAGACAGCAAACTCTAGAACCATCTTTGACTCTAATTAGTGGTTCTCAATTTCCAATGTCTGTGGGGATGGCTGAAGGGAGAAGTTATTATAGAGCAGATTCCAGAAACTTCTGTCCTTCCAGATGCCCAGAGGAAATGGGTCCCGGAAATCCGCCCCGCGCCCCCAGGGTCCCCCAGCACCTGTTGACGCCAGGGTCTCCAGAGCCCGCCCCGCCCAGCGCCCCGCCCCTCCCCTGCACCCCGCCCCAGCGACTCACCGATGCACACGTTCTCGTCGTCCAGCTCGGCGGAGCCGTTGCGGTAGTAGCCCAGACGGCAGTGCTGGCAGTGCTGGCCTCGCGTGTTGTGTTTGCAGCTGACACAGGTCACCACGTTGAGGAAGTCGATGTAGCTGCAGCGGTTGGAGTGGCCATAGCACTCACAGTCTGGGCCAGCCGAGCGTGAGAAACACCACGGGTCAGTGAGCCAAGGCAGACTGTGCCTTCCTGCCACCCCCTGCACCATGTATTGGGGGAAACTGAGGCACGGGGCTAGGACAGACCAGCCCGAGGACATGCAGGGAGGCCGGACCTGGCACGGGAAGGTACCATGGGCCTCCAACACTTCTGTACCAACTGGGAGGAGGCAGGCACGCCACCTTTGAGCCGGAGGAAAGACCCGTGTGGGCCTAGCCACAAGTTCCCACCTGGCCCTGGGGACAGGAGCCCAGGGAGGGCCTGTGGACAGCACCTGCCTGGCGGGGTGCCAGGCTGACGTGCTCTTGGAAGGATGCCTGCGAGATGCCGGGTGATTGGAAGTGATTCATGCAGGGAGGATGGGTCATGCAGCCGGCGTGAGCTTAGGAAGGGCAGTTGCTGGGTCCGTGGCGCTCACCACTGCACCCCCAGTGACTCGGTGAAGGACAGACGCATGCACGGACGCTGGGAGAGATGGAACGGACCAGGAGCTTCCTTCCACATGCTGCTTTGGAAGGTGGTTGGAAGGGAAACGCCCACCTGCTGGACCTTTTACTATTAGCCTGAGCTGTTCTGCAAATGCGACTGGCACCAGAGGGCCTCCTCTTGCACACCCCCGAGAATGAATGCCATCTTGGGGTTTGTGCCTGGTCCATCTTGTTTCGCCTCCTGATCATCTTGGCCTGGTGACTCTTACTGTGTGCACATGGCTCCACACCGAGGACAGCGATCCCTGTGCTGTCCTGCTGTCTCCTCCAGCCTCACCACCCTCCCCAGCCCCCATCTCCCGGGACCGGGCGTGTTCTATGACTGCCAGGGCGAGGCACCCTAAAGGTGTTGGGGTTTCAGTGCCTGCCCCCACGAAGGCGGCCATCCCTTGGTGTCCCTCCTAAGGGGCCCAATATCCCCTTCAAAAGGAAAGCCAGTGTGGCTGCCCTTGAATGGGAAGGACGCTGGCCACCCTCCTGGAATGCCATCTGCGTATCTCAAGAGGGCCCAACCTCCCTTTTGTGGTGGGAGAGGAAAGAAATGAGCCTCGGAGCTGTGCCAGGGAGGAGACCGCGGGCACGCCACACCTTGGGCTTCCTGGACCGTCCCCCTTCACCTGTCCCTTCCAGGTGAGGCATCCAAGTGTCTCAAGGAGTAGTGGCAGTAACCCCTGTGTCCCAGCTCTGGCTTCCACCGAGACAAGCCCCTGGGCCACACCTCCCAGGGGAGCACGGACAGACCATTTCTTGTTGCTGCTCTGCCTGCCCCGTGCCTGCCCACTGTGCTTCTGACTCATACCTGCTTCCAGCTCCCTTGGGGAGGGAGGACTGAGGGAAGAGAGGTTCAGCTTCACCTTGACCCAGCTACTCCGGGAGGGTTTTCTGAACCAGGCATGGGTCCTCCGTCCTGCATCATTATTTTCCAGCGGAGGTGAGGATAGAGGTGCTGGAGGAGGGCTGGTCCGGCCCGGGGCCTTCCTCTTACCTTGGAACTCTTCAATGGGCACCACTTGAGCTGATTTGGGCTTGAGCTGGAAAGGTTTGGAGGCCGGGGCAGGGGCAGCGGCGGAGGTGCCCACAGCTTGGAGAGATGAGAAATAAGCTCCTTCGTCGCCACGGTCCAGCTGCCCCGGGAGGGCTGTCCGGGCCCCGGGAAGGCCCAGCAAAGGCTTCCACCGTGCCCTGGGGATGCTCCGGGGCAGCCTTGTCACCTGCTCGATGTGAGGGGACACAGCACGTCCAGGAGCATGTGCAAAAAGCCCTGCCTTCGGTGCCCCTTCGGAGATCGCTTACACACTCGGCTGGATTAATTCCCCCCAATTCCTTTTCTAACCCCCAGCAACCCCTGACAGGATGCAAGGTACTTTGCTGAAACTGATTTTTTTTTTAATGATCTCAGGCATTGCTTGAGATCCCCAAACTCTCCTCTCCAAACTCCCGTTGAGCATCAAATCCAGAGAGTGGCCCTGGTGTCCAAGGCTTTGGCAACTCCCCGTCTGACGCATCCCCCCTCTTCCAGCCAAAGCGAGTCCTTTCCTATCCAGATTCCCCGCTCAATGGTGCTGCGAGCCGCGAGCCCAGACGGCGCCTGCCTTCCGTATCGGACCCATCAGGACCTGGCCGCATCTTGGAGAGCCAGCAGGACGCTGTCCAGGCAGCAGAGAGGGCCCAGCATCCCTCTGGGGAGCCTGCAGCGCCCTAGGCAGTGCGGGGAGGGAAGTGATGGCTCCAGGGTCTCCATCACCAGGGAGGATGCGGGCCGCAGGGGCCTGCAGACCCTCACCTAGTGTGGGTCCAGCTCCAGAACTGCCTGCCAGCAGAGGGCGCCGAGAACCCTGCTCGCTGCTCACGGAGGGGCTGGGCTGTTTCTAAGCAGGCAGTAGGACTAATGTCCAGGGAACGGGTGAGCTGGGATGGGAACAGCCTCCCTTCCTGGAGAGTCGGGCAAGCCCCTGTGTGCTTCCTGCGCGTGTCCGTTTCTGGCCACCAATGAGCCTGCGCGTGTCTCCTCCCACTGCTGTAGGAGACTGAGGCTCCCAACTAGGTACCAGTAGCTTCTACTATGCCTCCTGCCCTGCTCACGGCCACCCCCCCACCATGCCTCTGCCCTAGCTGGCCCTGCACCTGGAATGCGCTATCTTCTTTATCTGCCCATAGCCCGCCCCTCTGTCTGGGTCTGACTTCCACCCGCCTCCTGCAGGAGTCCTGACTCTCTCTGGGCTCCAACCCTGCCCCCCGGGGTCCTGGGACTGACAGTGGCGGGACAGGGTTCCTGCTACCAGGGCAGAGTCTCCACTCAGCTCCAAAGCCCTTGGGGGGAGTGAAGGATGAATAGGCATTGGGTCTGGCGGTATCACCCTGGGCATCTCTAAGATGAGAGTTGGAGTGGGGGCAAGTAGAGCTCCAAGCCCCACCCCCAGCTCTCACGGACCCCCCCCACCTGAGTCCCACCACATACACCTGCTGCCTCCACTAAAGAGGGAGGGGCCTGGGGTCTAAGGAGCTTTCGGGGTGTCTAATGCCCGTGCAGACCCTCCCCCCATACCTTCTGCACTGGAGGGCGTCTGGGGCCAGGGGGAGCTCTCCCCAAGGGGGGCAGCGGCAGATGGCCTGATCCGCTCTTGGGGGAAAGAAGAGAAGAAACTCAGTTATGTGACAGGGTGGGGCTGGGGGGGGCTCCTGGAGACACACTGAGGCATCACACACCCTTAGCAGCAGCAGCCCTGTAAGAAGCGGCTCTGTCTACACTGGCCAACTAGAACTGGGTCCAAATCTACCGGAGAGGCAGCGTCTACACTACTGCAGCTTATGGAGGGCACATGTGGACTTGAAGCCAGATGGGGGACGGGGGGCGCCCAAGAATCTGCATGCTTTTGGCTGTCCTTTCCTCAGTGGGCCACCTGATTTACGCAATTTTTCCACTCTCCCTATGTTGTCCCTGGTCCCACCGAGGGTAGACTTGGATCCAGCTCCGTGTCTGGGCCCAGACCTCTTTGTGCTGAAGTCCCTGGCTAATGACTGCAGAGGGGGACATGTGTCATCAAACGTGTCCAGAAGGGTCCTTGGAGGCTTTCTGTCTGACACCAGTGCGGGGCCCAGAGCCTCTCCACCATCTGGCCTACATCCCTAACCCACGGTTAGCGCACTCTCACCAGGGACCCCAGTGCGTGGCAACCCCCAGTGCCATAGAGCCTATCTCTGGGACTAACGGGACACAAAGCAGGGGAAGCAAGCTGGGCTGGCCAAGGCAAGGCATCGCTCAGCGCTGAATTTCAAAGGACAAACCCAGAGGGACAGGGGAGAAATTGGATTCTCTCCGCTTCTTAAAGGGATTACGCACGATGCCGGTTGGTGGGGAGGAAGAGGAAATCTACCAGCTGAAAAGTGCAGGAGACTTTCCAGCCGGGAGCTGGGAGCCTTTGGACATCAAATTGACATTAATATGGTGCTCAGCGAGCAGAGGAGGCTGCAGGACCCAAATTAGCAAGGGCTTAATTAGAGCCACAATAAAACCCGCCCTGAAGGCCTTTTGCTTTAGAGCCTTTCTCCCACCACCCTCTGCGCGCGAGGATTAGGCATCTTGAGCCGGTTTTCCTGCCCGCGGCCCCTGCCCTGCAGACAACTGACACTGTGGGGGGGGACACCTGGGCCAGAGGCCCACAGGCGCAGCTGGACTCTGGCCAAAGAGCTGAAGCACCTGTTGGGAGGCACGTGTGGGAGACTCAGGACCTCGCTGGGGGCCGGGACCTGGGGGCCAGAAAGACCCCCGGCTGGGCTCTCTGGGGCCTGCTCAGGTGTGCGGGAAGAGCATTCTCACAACGGCCCGTGTCGCGTGCTGGGCCAGATGGACGACCCGTCCGCTCCTTTGGAACTGGGGAGCTGCGCGCAAGCCAGGTCTTAAAGACGGCACCAGCTCCCGGCCTCTGAGGCTGGGGGTGGCAGCGCTGGGTGGTGGGGCCCGGAAGCTGGCCTCTGGAGTCAGCCAGCCCTGAGTCTGGATCCTGCGTGGGTGCCTCTGTCACGCTGTTACCTTGAGCAGCTGCCTCTTCCTTTCTCAACAGCTTAACTGACGTGCAATTTACGTACCGCGAACCCAGCTGTTCTTTCCTGAGCCTCAACGTCCTCACCTGGGGGGCCCGCAGCTAAGGGTCCTCATCCTCAGAGCTGTGAGTCAGGAAGTCAGGAGAAGTCCACAGTCTGCCAGCGGGGCCGATTGTCATTATTAGTGGGGGTCCGGGTACATGGGGCCCAGGGCACAGGCTTCCTTTGCTGAGAGGAGCAACGGCCCCCAAGATGTGGGCTACTGGGGTCGTTGTCTGTCTGCTGTGCTGGAACCACCATCCCCCCGAGCGTTCTGCCGCCTGGCACTGGGCTGGGCTCAGCTGGCAAAGCCGACCACGACCCACTGAGGGCTTGAGGAGCCCCTTTCTTGCCACTTGGGTCCTGGAGACCCTCACAATTCAAGCCCTCCTTGCCTCGGCTCACTGCCCTGACCTTGGACTCTCTCCGCACCTCCCAGTGGTGCAGTTTTCTTGCCCTACGCCACTTGCCCCAGATCAGAAGCAGCTCGGAAAATGGATTCAGGGTTCCTGTGTGTATGTGTGTGCCCGTGACACAGCAGCTCGTCTCCCACCCCGACAGGCTGCTGTTCGCACGCAGACACGGCACCCACCCCGGCGAGTGTGGCCCCCGTCGGCTAGTCACAGGCTCAGCACAAATGATCAGGCGGCCGGCCAGCTTCTGTCCTGGAATTGCCAGCGTGGACCCATTCTTCACCCCAAAGAGGATCCCTGGGCAGGAGGCTCCCCTGAAATCCCTGAGTCTCCTGCAAACGCCTCCCGTGGAGAAGAGAGGAGGACAGAAATAAAAAGAGCCGGGGCGGGTCACCCTCCGGGTTCCCTGGAGGAGTTAAGCAAGATGGCTCTGGAACGAGGACTTTTCCAGGGCATTCAGCCAGGCTTGGAGAGGGCTGAGCCCCACTCCAGGCCGGGGGCGGGGGCGGGGGGCAGGGGGCGAGGCTGAGTGTGGATCTCTTCCCCAGCTGAAGGAGGGGACTCTGCCCATCGGAGATGTAGTCTTCCCCTCCCCTGGTCCGTGTGCAGAGAGAGGAAGGGTCACGGCTCTGCCCAAGGAGTGAGGCGCCCCTGCCATCTCCTCTTTGCTGGGATGCCCCTTCCCAGCTGGGACCAGGAAGAATTCCCTTGGACCCATCCTCCTGGCACCCTCTGGGAAGGATTAGTCCTTTCAGACTCCCAGCATTTGCAGTGGGTGGAGACAGGTAAGCCCAGGGGGCCACCCAGCACCCCAGGCCTCGAGTATGTACCCATCCAACTTTGGAAGGGAATTAGGACCAGAGAGCAGGCGTTTCCAAGCCGGTCTGTGGCTGCAGACCCCTAAGAATGGCTGCTGTGGCTGAGGAGGGGCGGGATAGGATGCTGGCCCTGTCCCCCACACTCAGCCCGGAAAAGCTCGGCAGGCCCATTCCTAAACCCCCGGCCCAGAGGTGCCCTTCTGCATTGCTGATCAGAGTCTCTCGCCTTCTTGGCTAACTCTGTACTGTCCACTCCCAGGGGATCTGGTGCTGCGATGGTGGGGACAGAGCGGGGCCTGGCGGGGGGGAGGCAATCTCCACGGAGCACTGAGACAGAAAATCTCCTGGGAGAACTCCTTAGTGCCACCGGGCACCTCCCCTTCCTTGGTCACCCTGTCCTCTCGGCCATGCTGGTCTCAGGACCCGCCTGACCAGTGCTGTGGGAGGCAGGAGGAAAAAGCATTGAGGGGCTTGAAGGGAGCCACAGATCCCCTCGCTCGGGCCCAGTCATGGGGGACCCAGACGTCCTGGAGGCCCTCCGTCAGCCCCACACTCTCAGGCTCTAGGGTCTAATGTGCTCTAAGAGCCAAGCCCCACGGCAGACACCCGACAGCAGCACACATCACACACGGGGGACATGGTGGGACGTGGGGAAGAGCAGGGCAACTGGGCTGTCCCTGAACACCCACCTGTGGGCTGTGGGGTGCTGGGGGCCATCGGGGCCCGCCCGGTGGAAGTAGAGGGGGCGGGAGTGCTGGGGTCCCCTCTCAGGGCCACAGTGGCCACAGGGGCTCTGGGGACAGGGTCTTTCCGGGGCCTGCCGACGCCTGGCAAGAGACGAGAAAGGCAAGAGGGTGGGGAGTTGGCAGGTATGGGGTGCTGCAGAAAGGCCACTTCTGGCCTCGCTGAAGCATCCCCTCCGGGGTCCAGCTTCCTCTGGCACCGTCTCTGCCCCCAGTGTCCCAGCAGGGAGCAGGCCACGGTGGGCTGCGGCCCCCCTCGAACATGTCTGAAGCGTGACATGGGCCACTGGCGGGCCCTTTGACCCTGGCGAGTCCTCTCCCGCTGACTCTCAAAGCTGGTGGCAGAGCCCATGGGGCGGGGGGGTGGGGGGCGGTCCGGGAAGCACCGCGCTTAGAGCCCGCAGCCTGCTGATGCCGTGTCAGCCCGTGGGTGCCCACGCCCAACCTCCCTCCCACAGTCTGACCCCTCCGCGAGGGCCTGCAGGCAGCAGGACCCCGGCGTACCTGCCCCAGCCTCCCAGGCACACAGGTGCAGACTACCTGAGCCAGGCACGCCCCACAGTCGGGCTGCGGGAGGGGGCACTTCTGCCCCTGGCCAGGGAGAAGGGACCCCCATTCTTGTCCTGGAGGAGAGGGAGGCATGGGGAGTTCGCCCTGGGGTTGCAAGGCCCTTTCCAAAGCAGCACTGACCAGGAAGCTCGAGGGGAGAAATGTGGGGGTGCTGGCTGAGGGCCACAGGGGGGACAGGAGGGAGCGGGAGAGGTGACGAAGTGAAGGGGTGTGGTTGGAGTCATGCACTGGGGGCGCCACTGGCCTTCCCCAGGGTGAAGGACCAGCGCGTACTTACTGCCAACAGCAGAGCCTGCAGCAGCACCTGGGGGAGAGAAGGAGGGTCACAGGGCCTCCCGGCAAAGTTGGGGGGCGGTGACAGGGCTGGGGGAGGGAGACCTGGAGCCGCATGCAGGACTGACCCCGTCTACCCGGTCTCATCCTCACAGCTGCCCTGAGAGGAAGGGGCCACCTTTGCCCCTTTTGCAGATGGAGAAGCTGAGTCTCAGAGTTGGGACCGACCTCCAGGGGACCTGCTGGTAAGTGTCAGACACTCCACGGGGGGCATCACGTGCACTCGTCTTTGAGGTTAGACTCTCAGGCCCTCCTGTGCAGGACAAGGAGGAGGGGTGCCTTTCTTCGGGGAGCACCAGGGTGCCGGAGGACCGGAGGGCACCACGGCCGGGGCAGGCGGGTTTCCTGGAGGCACTGGTGGAATTGACCTCCAGGCAGAAACCACAGTGTGTGCATCCGTCTGTGGGAAGCGGAGATGGCCGGGGACTCACGGAAACGAGAATCGTGGCAGCTGCCGCATGTGGCTGACACGTGCTGAGCGTGGCCCCGCGCAGCCAGCCTGGTCCTTGCAGAACCCCACAGGGGCTCATCAGTGTCCTCACTCTACAGATCTGGGACACCGGGCTCCAGGTAAAGTGACCTGCCCAAGGCCACACAGCTGGGAGTGGCCTGTGTCCGTGCCCCGGGGGCTAAAGGATGCCCGAGGAAAGGAGACGGGGGTAAGAATCCTCAGTGACAGGAGGAAGGAGCTGGTGCCAGGCTTCCCTGGCTGGGTGTCCCTGAAGAATGACGGAGGGCGAGGATGCCCCTCGGTGCCCTGGGAGGCCCTTGGGGGGGTGTATGGACAGCAGGCTACGTGAGGCACAGACCTCCCCAGAGTGAGCCCAGGGGACACCAGGGCGGCCTGGGAGGATGAGGGGCTGGACTGGGTTAGGACAGGATTCTGAGGGCCCTGGGCAAGGGCACCCTGGTCGGGAAAGCCCTGTGCCTGCGGCGAGGAGGATGGACTAGCGGGGCCCTGACTGGAGGGGATATGGAGACCAAGCGGGGGCAGTGGAGAGGACGGGCTAGCGTCTGGGGACCCCCACACTTGCAGCTTGGCCCCCTGGGTGTTGGTGCCATTGCCTGAGATGGGGACACGGTGGGAGCAAAATTAAGCTGGGACTTGTTTCTGTCTGTGTCTTAGAGTTTTCTTCTGCTGTCCTAGAGAAGCTGGGGGTCCCAGGTGAGGAAGCGACAGGCTGAGGACACGCGGCACTTCGGGCCTCATCTCTGCTCCTGGGGATTCCAGGAGAAACCCCTCTTTCCCGGGGCGGGGGTGGGTACTCTGGAGAAGCAGGGCCAGCTCCAGGAGCTCCCCCGGATGAAGGGCTTTTGCCTGCCCCTGCAGGGCAGAGGGACGAGGGTCCAGAGGCAAAGCCTGGTCTGCGTGTGCGGGCGCATGTCTGTCCCCGGCGGGCTGGACAGAGGGTGGCCACCTCAGTCCAAGCAGGTCTGTGCACCTGCCAGCGTCAGGAGACGGCAGATCCTTCCAGGAGGTAGGGCAGAGAGCGGGGAGGAGGAGGCCAGTGGGACAGATGAAGGGAGGCAGACTGCCAGGGAGGGAGGTGAGAGCCACTAAAGAAAGGGCTCAGGCAATGGCTCCAACAAAGAGATGGGTCGGCGCCTGGCGAGGAGGGAGCCCGGCGGGGCGGCTGTCAGCGCCCAGAGCTCTGGGTGCCTTTGAAGGCCCAGAGTGCCGTGAGCGCCTGGCAAGTCACCCCTTCAAAGGCCTGTCGCCCGGCACAGGCACGACACGCCTGTCACGGCCTCGCTGTGAGGTTTTCAGCTTTGATCAGCCTAAAGTCACATAAATCTTTCACATCGGTGGAGGGAGGGTGCCAGTGGAGGGGCTCCCGCGAGGGTGCCCAGGTGGGGGGGTGGTCCGGGGGCCGGGGGCCGCCGCCCTGCTCTGGCTTTGGAACTGGGCCCAAACCAGTTGCTCGCTGCTGGACCAGGGCTGCTGGGCCTCAGTGTGCCCATCTGGGGAGTGGGGGGTACACACTCCGCCCGTGGGGCAGCTGTGAGGGCTACGGGAGAAGTTCTGTATCGGGTGCCTGGTGCATCGGACCTCAGAGAAGTCGCTGGAGGCTGGCCAGGGAGAGTCCACCCTGGGGCTGAGCCCCAGCCCCTCTCCCCACAGCAGCTTGGGGGCGCCCTGGGATTTGTGATTTCATGAAAACATCCATGGACTCTGGGGGGCCCTGATGAGTGGCCCCCCCAGGCTGTTCCCGACGCAGGCACATGTGGGTGCACCCTAGCCCTGGCACAGAGGCGATGATGCAGAGAAAGGAAGCCTGCAGGGACCTCGGGCCAGGACCTCCAAGGACCCCTCCTTAAAATGGGATAAAAGAGACCCACTTCCTGGGGTGACTCTGAGGGTCGAGGGTGTGGTGACCGCGCAGCACGCAGCACCCGAGTGGCAGGCTGTAAACGCCCCGTAAGCTGGTTACGGTGCTGCCAGCCACAGCCTGGAGGCAAGGGTCCCCCCACCCCCTGCCAACACCCCAGGGTGCCATCTCTCCAGCCTGCAGGGCCAGGCAGAGGAAGGACAGCAGGAAAGACACTGAGCTGCTCATCTCGGGTTTCCCCTGGCGCCTGGGGTGGGAAGGGCGGCTTAGGTGTTGCAGGGGGAACGGCACCTCGTAACAGGGGGGCGGGGGGCAGGGTGAGTGTGCACGCTTGTATCTGTGCACACGTTGGCACGCCCGTCTGCACAGGTGTGTGCTCGTATGCTTGCAGGTATCCGCACGTGCGTGTGTGTGCGTATGTCTGTGACTCACAGCTCCTGGGGTGGAGAGCGGGGGAGACCGCAGTCCCCCGGGGCCGGGGCCGGGCAGGGGGTACGTACACGCGTTGGGAGAGCCGTGAGGCAGCGGCAGGTAGGAGCCGGCGCGCCAGGACCGGGTGCGGAAGTTCCTCTTGCACTTGCCGCAGTCGGGGCCGGTGGTGTTGTGCTCACACTCGCACTGCAGGCTGCCCTCCCGCACGGAGCACAGGTTAGCGTGCAGGTTGCACTTGCACCTGTGGGGGACACAGAGGGCCAGAGAGGTCAGTGACTCGTGGGCAGGTGGGCGCGGGAGGGTGACCGTGGGGGCCTCCCGTCCAACCTGCTGGGACTCTCCTTCGGGACAAAAACTCCCCTATCGCCCCGCTCGTCAGAAAGCACCCGATCCACCCTTTCCCAGGCTAAAGCTGCACCCAGAGCCCCAGCCACCGGTCCACTCCCCGGTCGGGCGGTGCCTGCGGCGCTCTCCGCCGTCCCAGGGCGGGTGGCGAGGTGACCTTGACCCAGACGCTGTGTCCTAATCACCTTTGCTCTTGGCTGAGGCAGGATGACAGGCAGCACAAGCTGCTCACCAGCGCCCCCCTTGCAGACCCGCCCGGCCCGGGCCGCCCCTCTGCGCTCAGCCTCGCCCCACACCCACACCCTTGAGGGCAGATGGAGAGAACCCCTACTACTCCCAAACCCCGGTCGGTTCGTCCACACATGTATTATTCATTCATTCATTCAAATATTTATAGGCAACTCATTATTCTGAAATCCAGTAAATAAAGGGAGAGAATCCAGCGTGTCCTGTGTGTCCTGTGTAAACTGTACCCCCGCGTAACGAACTGTGGATGGGGGGATGTTTCTTTTTATAGAAGCGTCCCCGCTAATAACCCAAGAAGGCAGGCAGGAGTGGGAGGTCGCCTTGCAGCAGCCCTGCCTCGGCCAACAGCTCCAGGCTGTGGGCGCAGAGACAGCTGACGGAATGAAGGACACACGGCACCCGACGGCCGACGGACGGAAGGACACACGGCACCCGACGTGGTCTCACCCAAGTCCACTGAACTGGAATTTGACGGGGCCTCCGCATCCGTCTACAAAATCGCAGGGAATACGGAGGCCAGACACACACACACACAACAGCAGCGGGACGCAGTCGGCCCAGACAGAGGGGACTCCGGGAGTGACCAGCCAGCATTTCTACCCGATGAAGGGTGGGGGGCAAAGACGGATGGGGGGGCCACACCAAGAGAAGCCTCGGAGGCATCAGCCATCTGGATCCTGATTCAAACAGCCTTAAACTCAAATAAACAAATAGTCACGAAACAGTCGGAAATACGGAGACTGACTGTATTTGATGACCTTAAGTTAGCGTTGGTTAGATGCAGGGATGCTGCTGTGGTCACATTTTTTAAAGTCCTTCTCCTTTCAAGATAGACACTGAAGTACTTACAGATGAAGTGAACCGGGCTCTGGGATTTGCTTCAGAGTGACACGGAAAGGAAGAAGGTGACCAAAGATGGGGACGAAACCCGACAGACCACGGGCTGGTAGCTCCCCGGGTCGAGGGGACAGGTATATGGCGGTCCTCTGCTGGCATCCGTGGTGGAAATCCTCCAGAGTAAAAAGAAAGCCAGAGGGCTCTAGGTTCTGAGACGGGAAGATTTCCAAGGTGTATTGTCCATGTTTGTAAAAAGCAACTTGCAGAATAACGTCGTTTAGTAGAATCCTGTTTTTGTTAAAATATGCAAAAACTATAGAGCTCGGGTACCAACTATGTGCCAGGCTCTGGGCCGGGGAGCAGATCGTGGAATGGTCAACAGAGCGGGGATGGGGGGGGTCCCCGCTCCCGCAGAGTATACAGTCTGTCTAGTAGGGGAATGACCGAAACCAGTGATTGGGTTAACCCGAGAAGCACGGGGGGCATTTTAGGGCAGTGAAGCCATTCTGTGTGACAAGATCACAGTGGCAGCAGGACTCTGTGCATTGGTCCAAACCCACAGAGCTGACAACCCTGAGAGGGACCCCGATGCACCTGTGGGCTCTGGCTCACAGTAACACAGCAGTGCTCATCACCTGTAGCGAATGATCCTGCTAGCACAGCAGCAATGATGGGGTGCCGTGTTCATGGAGACCGGGTATCAGGGACCCTCTCCCCAACATGAAGTCTACTAATTTGACCATAGTCATCGTGCCAATCTTTAGTTCATAGCAATCGTTACATGTGCCTAAGCACCATACAGAGGAGAGGGTCTAAGGCGGGGGGGGGTCCTAACTTAGTCTTGGGGGAGCAGCATAGGCTTCCAGGAAGAAAAGTTTAAAATTAAGGCCTGAAGGAGGATCAAGAGTTTGCCAGACAAGGAGGAGAGAACCTTCTGGAAAGAGGCAAGAACCGGAGGAGAGCCCCTACTAGGGCTGAGAAGAGTTCTACCCCTGAGGTCTGAGGGGAGCCCAGCGGTGGGAGGAGGCCAGCCCAGGACACAGAGGTCGCTGGGAGGTTGGAGGAGGTCTGCCCTGACCCACTGTTTCCGTTGTTTACCTGGGGCACCAGAGCCCGGCTGGGGAGGTCAGGGAGAAAGCTGGGCATCGACCGGCAGCGGAGAACCCAGGCCTGGGCTCGGATGGAGGCATGGAGGCCCCCCAGTCAGGCCAGTCTGTGGTATCCAGTCATAGTGACCCCAGGCACACTAACATGTATATCTCCCTGTTACATTTAAAATACATATATCCACCCCAAATCACCAAGAAAAAAATGTATCTGGGTTTCAGCGTGTTTGTCCCAGGTTGGGAGGGGATGGGCTGATTCGTGGCTTTTCTTTCTTTCTTTGTCGTTGCACATGTCCTACAGGCTCTATCATGAGCAGGTATTAGGTTTATAAGCAGATGGCAAATGTTATTTTCTACCAGGTGGTCAGGCCTGACCCTCTCGAGAACTTCCTGCAGCTCAGACCTGGGCTCCATGGGGCATGAAGAAGCCCGTTCACTCTTTCAGAGTTCCAATCTGCGGCCGCAAAGGCACAGGGGGCCTTCCGTGTGCCCGGCTCTTGGAAAGGCACCGGAGGATGGGCCAGTACCTGTTGGCGCTGGTGACGCTTCTTCCCTGGGCAACCAGACCCCAGAGCTAGTCCTTGGCAAAGGGAGGTCCAGTGCTTGACCTTACTGGTCAGCATATACGATGCTTCCCTAATGCCCTCACGCCCCCCTCCCTGACCCCCACACCCACAGTGCCCATTAGCAGATCACAGGCTCTGACAAGTCCTGCAGGAAAGAAACCTGTCTGACTTTGTCTAACAGAAGTTTGTTTGCAAAACGAATTTGACCTCAGATTTTTTTTTTTTTTTCCCCTTCTGAATTCCTATTTAACATCTCACTGAGCTAGCTGGAGAGGAACACCCCAGCTGTGTGGAACCAGGAACATACTCCATGCCTCTGGCCCGAGGATGGGATATTTTTAGATATCAGCTACATGAAGAAAAGATTGCCATCTCAAGTTTGGGTGATAACGCTGACCTTGGCTTGTTAAAAATGCATAAAGACTGGCTGAATCAGAGAAGCAGATTGTAGTGATGGTGGCGGGGAGTCCAGGGTGTCAGAGTTGGACAGGCCCGTGGGGCCCAGGCTGGGGAGAAGCGGAGGCCACGCAGCTACTTCCTCAAGACCCAAATCCTGACCCGGGCTCTGCCCCAGTTCCGTGCTGGCCAGGCCCTCCCACAGGCCTCCTCTCCCAGAGGGTGTCTTGGCTTCTCCACCCTTCCTGGCTGAGCCTGGAATGAGCTCGGTGCCTCCTCCCCCAAGGAGAGAAGTTCCCCATTGGGCATGGCTGCCAGGAGAAGCCCACATAGTGGGGGAAAGCCTCACCAGGGCTGGCACAGACACGGAACCCCGTCAATGGAGCTGCTTCTTAGACTTCCTGACTTCGCAGGAAGGACTGGGAGACGCTGTCTCTGTGTTTATACAGGTGCGCACCCTTGTTCAGGGCTTGGCCTTTCCGGCTCTCTCCCTGTCTCTCCGGGTCTCTGTCTCTCCCTCGCCATCTCCATCCAGCCTGGGTTCTGAGCTTGCTTTCCTCTGGACCTCCGCAGATGCTGTTCCCTCCACCTGGAGTCCTGCCGAGCCCTGCCCCCTTCTCCTAAAGCTAACCACTGGGGCAAATGCCAGGTTTGAGACCAGATGTCACTTGTGCAGGGGACTTCTCACTGTCCCAGCTCTGTCGGCCCCTGTTACACTGTTCCTCACCCCAGTAAGCATCAGCGTCAGCGCGGTCTCCCCCAGTGGAGCACACAACGTGACCGTGGGAGAGGCTCGCGTGAACTATAAAGCAGTTTCGGGGTTCATATTTATTTTGAACACACAGTATTTTTTTTTAAGTGACAAACGCATCAGACCTGGGATCTTAAACGTATCATCACCCAGGTGAGACAGTAAGGCATATTCACTTAAAGCAGCTATGAAGCAAGGAAATTAATAATCCGGGACATCCACATGCATGAGAGTGAGGTCACACCACAAACAGAAATTAACTCAAAATAGATCGAAGACGTATACGTAAGAGTTAAAATAAGAAAAACAGAAACATACGGGCAAATCTCTGACTCTGGGTAAAGCGGTGGTTTCTTCGCCAAGACACCCAAAGCACAGACAACAGCAGAAAAAGATGTATACATCGGATTTTATATAAATTAAAAACTTGGCGCGTGTCAGAGGCCGTCATCAAGAAAGTGAAAAGACACTTCATAGAACGGGAGAAAACTGCTGCGACTTGTGTCTGTGCTACAGGATGAATTCCTGCACCTCCGTAATAAAAACATGACCCGATTTTTAAAGTGGTGAAAGGATCCGCGTAGACCTTTCCCCAAGACACAAGCAGGGCCAACAAGATCATGACAAGATATCAGCCACAAGCAAATCAAAATCACCGCGCGTTGACCTCCCACGCGTATCTTATGTTGATTATCAAAAACACAGACAGTGACAAGTGTTGGCAACGCACCACCCAGCGATCCCACCCACAGGTGTACACCCCACAGACACCAGGGCACGCCCGCACGAGAAAGGTGTGCGGGGTGTGCTCGTAGCAGCGGCCTTCACAGTTGCCGAAAAGCAGAAACAACCCGAGGGCTAGTCCACAGAAAAGCAAAACACATGCAAGGGAATATGACCGGGCCATAAAGGGGAACGGGGTTGGGACACCTGCTCCGGCAGGGGTGAACCTGGAAAGCATGAGGCTTAGCAAAAAATAAGCCAGACACAAAAG